ATTGTGAATGAAATTGCTTTCATAATTTCTTTTTCAGTAATTTTATTGGTATATAAAAATGTTACAGATTTTTGGCTGTTCATTTTGTATACTGCAACAGTATTGAATGCGTGTTCCAATAGTATTTTGGTGGAGTCTTTACATTTTTCTATAGATAGTATCATATCATCTGCAATCAGGTATAATTGAACTTCTTCCCTTCCTGTTTATATGCTTTTTATTTCTTTCTCTTGCCTAATTGCTCTGGCTAAAACTTCCACTGGAGGTTTTGAAAAGCATAAAGTGATCAATATGTATTTACTGAGCATTGGCTATATGACAATGTTAGGTATTAACATGATATGAAATCATGTGTGAAAAATAATGTGAGATATGAAAATAATAAAGAGTATGAAATATGAAATCATAAAACTAACAATTTTAAATTTGTGAAATACTTTTTTATTTGCTTGATCTCATTTGATCTAAATCATGTTTTCTGTTCTCAAAGCTTACAGATCTTCTTGTTATAGATCTTTCCAAATAAATGTAAAGGGAAAGGCAATTGAACACATCTGTATCGTTCTGATTATATTCCTGAAAGTCACTCTGAGATGGGACTTAAAGTATGGGGTTAAATGTTTGGGATCCATGGGTAGGTCTTGAGTTGGCTTTGTAAGATTTCTTTATTGCCAGAGACAAAGCTTTGAAGGAAACTACAAATAACCATGGTGGATGAACTGACTTCTCTCAAAGCACTGTTGCTTTGTCTGGCGGGCCCTTACCCTGAATGTGGCAGTTTCTACCACATAACACTTTAATTTTTATATATTACATTTTGATCTTTGACTCTAAATAAACATTTTCTATGGATAAGTTAACCTGATGACTTCTACTTTAAATGATTTCTAATAATGCCATATGATGGCTGGTTGGGGTGTTAGGTCAAGGTTTGGTGAGGAAATCCTATTTTTCTTGTTTTAAAATTATATCAGATTTTTGTTGCCTCAGGGAACATGACTTGACTGAATGCAATGTTATTATGTGATGCTGGAGAGTAGTCTAAAGATAAAAATCATAAATGTTCAGTGATTTATCTTCCTAGTTCCAGTATGCTAAAATCATTATTTCTCGTAGTTGCATTGACATTCCAACCAATGATATTAATCACCTTCAAAGATTCCCCTTGTTCTTGAAGTCTGCTGGGGTAGTTCAGCACCATTTCACAGAAAATGTATATAATAAATCTATAAATTCTGCAAAGAAAAAAAAAGAACTTGAGATGGGGTCTGGAACAGAGTTGCTCTCAAGGGCAAGGACCAGCTGAAGCTCATGGGAAAACAAAAATGAATTGATTTACTTGTGTTTGACATATATGAAAGAACCACAAAGAGAATGAGATATCAAAAGATGGATTTAGGGGAGACAGATGTGATGGTTCAGGGGAGGAAAAGAATGGCAGAGAAGGGGGGAAGCTGCATGTGAGTAAACTATTTGTCATTCTTCATCCAGACAATGAGGTTAAATCTTTTTGCCTCCATTTCCAATTGGAATGGCAATTAACAAGTTATAGGCAAAGGACTTTGAAAACCCATGCAAAAATGCTTAAAACTGTTTTTTGTTTGTTCGTTTGTTTGTGATGTTAGGAATTGAACCTAGGGCCTCACATATGTTAAGCAAGAGCTATACCATTGAACTATATCCTTAGAGCCCCGCTACCTTTTAAAACAGAGCCTTGCTAAGTTGCCCAGGGTGGCCTTGAACTTTCCATCCTCCTAATTCACACTCCAGAGTCACTAGGATTATAGATGGGCACCACCTCATCCCACAAAACTTTAATGAATTTAAGTCATCATAATGTCTAAGAATGACCAGAGAAGGTCCTATGGTCTTCATGAGGGTATATGCTACTTAGAAAAAGTTATACATTTTAATAATAAGTGTATACTTCATTATAAATGCCCCAAAGAAAATAGGAGTAAAATGACCTTAAGATTAAACATAGATATCCCAAAGTCTAAAATTTGCCAAAGATCTCTCTGGCTTGGATAGTGATTATTTTATTTAATTTGATTGATTAATTTATTTTAAACCAAAATGTAAGGTTGGTTTACATACACCTTATCCCAAATAAATATTTTCCTATATTTTCAACTTTTTAAACTTATTCTTTCACTTATTTTTCCTATTATTGGTATATGCTGGCCAGGATGTTGAGAGGAAAACTTTTGCTGTTTTCTTTTCCTTCATCTGTAAATACCCATATTCTTAGCAGTTTGTTCATGCTGCCAAGATGTGAATATCCATGTTTGAAGAATTTTTTTTTAGAGAAATCCTTTTAGCAGAACTCAATCCTATTTAATGGAAAAAAGCCACATGATTAAATGAGGACTCTCCCAACTTTCTACCATCTAATCTGTAGATTCTTCTGCAAAATGTGCACTATTTTATCCATTTTATCCTTCTCCTCTCTCATAGTCCTGTCCCCTCTCTAAGATGAATCCTTGCATATAGTCTCTGGGTTCCAGCCCCATCTTTCCTTTTGCCCTTTCAGAGACCATTAATAACTCTCTCTTCCCCAATCCCTTCTCTTCAGGATCCTTTCCATTTGTATTCAAACACAGTCAAATATCTCATATGTTCAATAGCAACAATAAAATAACAACAATAAAAACAGGAGTAGCAGCAAACATGCCCAAACCCAAACCCTCAGATCTATACCTTAACTCTTTTAGTTCATAGTGCTCTCCTCATTCCACTGTAACCTGGCTTCTTTTTCTTTTTCTTTTTTTTTTTCTTTTTAGTTGTAGATGGACACATACCTTTATTTCATTTATTTATTTTTATGTGGTGCTGAGGATGGAACCCAGTGCCTTACATGTTCCAGGCAAGTATTCTACCAACTGAGCTATAACTCCAGGCACCTGTGATCTGGCTTCTGTCCCTATCCCTCTTTCTCTCCCCATGCTTCTGGTCTTAGAGAATGGCAACAATAACCACTGAAGCCTAGCCTAGGAATTAATCTAACTTTCCCAGTTTTCTTCGCCTCCCACATACAATTAATCACCTGGTTCCATTCATTTGGTTACTAAATCTCTCAAATCAATCTCCTAGCTTCTTTCCATCCCCATTGCCCCTCCCTAATGTGGAGGATGTATTTCTCTATCCACATGTAGGTGATGGGGTGGCTGAAGCCCATTGCTGCGTGATGAGGTCACAAAGACTTGGGGTGCTGATGACTGCGTATGCAGAAGATCTAGTCTCTGGAGATTTCTTGGCCATTTTCACACCCTCCTTATGTGTTTTCTGTTTAAAATGTTGACTTCTGCATTTTTCAGTTGGTTCCCTTCCACTTTCCTGGCATTTTCGTCTAATTTATGCAGGACACTGTTGTTGCTCTTACAAACTCTGAGCTCACAATTGTCATTTTAGCTCTGTGGTCAGGGCCTGGCTCTGACCCTCACCGGCTATATGATCTTGGACAGATCATCAGCTCTTAATTTCCTTATTTGTAAAATAAATGGCTTCCCCTAGATCAGTGGGTCTCAACCCTGGCTGCACATTAGAATCACCTGCTGAGCTTTCAAAAACTCCTAGAGCCCAGGCTAGAACTTAGATTAATGACATCAACATCCTGATGCCTGGGCCTCAGGATTTTTTATTTAATTTAAAATGTTTCATTATTTTTTTTGTCAGTTTTCTTTTAAGTTCCCCCAAAGCTCCCAATGTATAGATAAAGTTGAGAACCATTGACAATGCTTTTTATAGGACCTTTGCTCTACCATTATTTCATGTTTTCTTATGCCCCAATCCCAAGTCAAGGTTTCTCTTCTTTTTACATGTTTTTACTAAGTTGGGAAGAAATAGCTGTGAAGCTCCCCCCACCCCCTTCCATCTGCTGTTTGTTCTTATTTACATACGATGGAACCCAGCCCACTGATTTACAGCTCTGGTTCCCTTACAACTGTTATTGAACTGAAAACATAGCTGAAAACTTATTAAACAGAAAAAAAATTATTTTGAGCTTCCTGCCTACAATTCCTTATAGAACAAAGGAAACATTTAAACTGTTTTCCTTCTAGAGGTAATGTTAAAATTGATTTATAATCCCATAATCTCAAATTTAACTTAATTCTGGGGCCAGATCTCAATATTTATTCTTTCTTGGGTGTCCTGTTAAGGAAGCCAGAGCGTCTCTGTAGGAGAACGGGATTTTGAGGGGTATGCACTCACAGACAGGCACAGCCTCCTCATATTGCTGTGTGGCTTCTGAAATTAAGTGTCATAGTCTTTTTTCTCCCAGTCCTCTCTTGGCCTGCAGATGCTGGCAGTAAAGCTAGGGCAAACTTGTCCTCTTTGTGAATGTAGCCTCACTCTTTGAACTTCTGGGAACAGGCCTTTTAGAAGATGTTCTGTAGAAGCTCCCTTTGCATCTACCATTCTAGATCTGAAATAATGGGACTTTGCTGAGCTAAAAGAGAGTAGAGAAGAGGGTAGAAAGATGATAGAGAACAGCCAAGCATTTGATTTGACCACTGGCACTAAATTTGGGAAGATTTGGGGTCTTGGCATAAGTCTGATTCATGTTGGCAAAGCACTCTTTGGAGTAATGGCTCTTCTTGCCTGTTTCTTGGTTAACAGTACCACTTCCAACTGTTCGTTCACTTTCTTCTGCAATACCTATCTGAAATACACAGTCTGTGCCTTTATTAGTCTCTCTCAGATCCCTATTAAATTATTGAAATTGGCTTAAGCAGATCACCACCTAGTCATAACCTATTAGAAATAATAAAAACACATTATCCTTTCACAGCTGGGCTATCCAGTTATTCTCATGGAAAGAAAAGGCTATAATCTACTGGTTTTAGAATAAATGCTGCCAGAATATGGGGTCAAACTGGAAAAACCTCTTCCTCATCATATTGAACATTGAACTATTTCTACACAAGCTAATTTTAGTTCAGAAAACCTTGTCTGAAGTTTTTGTCTTTGACACTTCTTCTTTGGGTATTTTCTTGTAGATGGAGGAATTGATTGAGGGTGTTCGCTGGGCCTTCATTGATATGCTGGAGAAAGAAAATGACTGGATGGATGCAGGGACGAAAAAGAAAGCCAAAGAAAAGGTAAGAATTCCTTTTGATGAACAAAATATGATTTCTGGTTTAATGGATTTTCATGATGACATTGACTGTGTAGTTGATTTTTATATTGACTGAGCTGTTGGTTCTGAATGACCCCAGATTTAGGTGTGTGCTTTTGGATGAATAAATAGATTTCATCACTGGGGGTTAAGAGAAAATAACATCTGACTGTTTCTTTCTCTAACTGCATTTCAAATACCCAATAATTCATCTTTCCCTTCTAATTGCTGTCTATAAGAGCCTCATGGCCTGCTGCCTAGTGAATTTTGCCATAAACCTCCATTGGATATGGCAGAATGCAGAGCAGTTGGGAGCCATCGGGAGCAGCTGGCAGAAGAGCCCTCAAGATGCAAAGAAGAAGAAAACCTGTATTGGCCATGTGTCCTTCTTCTCGGTGCATGATGTGTGCAAATGTCCTGAGGCAAATCCTTTCCAGTAACCAAATAGATCTACTTCTTAGCCCATCATTTAACACAAATGATCCAAAGACCATGCTTATCAATTGTGGACCAGTAGTAGACCATTGTGTAGGAGTATAAAAGTTAGCAGTAGAAACTTGGTGGGCCTTGTAAATTTTTCTGATACCATAAACAAGATAAGGGAATAAATGAGGAAAGAATGAAGAATATTGTTGTTTAAAAATTAAAAAAATGGAGCCTATCTTAATTCTAGGTATTCTGATGGAACTGGAGCTCTAGTGGGTATAGCATGCCTGGTACACTGTTCATGGATGCCACTCTGCAGCTGGGAGACTATAAAATCTGGAGCATTTTTTTTTTCATTCAAGAGATGTTTTGAAACCTTTCTGATAATAGCTATAACCTGGGATGTCTAGAAATTTTATAGCTTTCTGGATCCCCTTCCCAGCCTGGTTCATGGATCTAGGGTAGAGTCTGAACATTTGTGATTTAGGCCAGTGTGATTGTTATCATTAGGGAATCATACTGAGTCATCATGGGCACTAAATTATTTTTTGTTTTGGTTCTGGAGACCCAAAGGGCTTTGTGCATGCTAGGTAAGCACTGTACCATTGAGCTATATCCCCAACCCCAAGCAGAAATATTTTTGCATTATGATCAAGAAACAAAGAAGGCAACATTCTGGTAATGCTTAGACTTGTTGAAATGGGAGTGTGCAGAAGTTTAGCAAGGATATTTTCTAGAGCTTTAATATGACCTTGCCATAGATGTTTTATGTGAAAAGGCTATTCAGTGTTTCTAGTGAAGAAAGAATTTGGGTGGTGGTGGGGGGGGAGTGCTGGAGGAAGACAAATGGTAAATTTGATTTTGTTTTCCCCTCCAAGGTCTGTCAAAGCTGTCTTTTAAGTCATGAAAGGACAGGTGTGCACAGAATGTTATGGAAAGTGCTCCAGAAGGTAGATATCTGGGATATCTGGAACAGAATTGGGCAGTTGAGGCCTCAGCATATTTGGGGCTCTTTAGCCTAACTCCTTAGGGACTGGGGTAGTGTATGTATGAATTAGTACAAGGCCACAAGGGTGGGGTGGATTGTGAGGGTGTGTGTGTTTTATGAATGGACAGATACTTGGGAATGTTCTGGAAACTTCAGTCAGTTCTTTGAGAAATATGCATCAAGATTGCCTCTGGGCAATCTTCCTAGTTCCATAAGGGAGTGGGTGCCTTACATTTGGGCTTTCTAGGCAAGCAGATCATACCTCCTTCTTAAAGGAGAACTCTTCCCAGTATTTCTAATATTAGACGTGTTCTTGCTTGCCCTCTGAGTTGCTCTCCAGTCTTCGATTTTATTTCATGAGAGCTGTCAGTTTTTCTTCTAAAAGTAGTCTTTGAACACTCTGCTTTCTTTGAGCTGAGTTCAATCTGCCAGGAACTCTGCTAGTTCCTCGACAGGTACAAATATCAAAGGCAATTGTCCTCCTGGATCTCGCTAGGTTCCCCAGGTATATTTTATCTTTCAGATTTCAGAGTAGTGCCTTTAATGAAAAGCAAGAATGAAGGATGTTTCCAAGAATTTCCAGCAATTCTCTGAGGCTCGTCCCGCCCTGGACCCCAAAAGATGGAGGTTTTCCTTCTCCAAATTAAATGAACTTGCAGTTCTAGAAATGACCTCTGGGTGGAGCTCATACTACTCATAAAGAACACAATGAGCTGACAGCTTTTATGCAGCTTTCTACTTTGGGCCTGTTTTTGAAAAAGAAAATTTTTTTCTTGCCCTTTTTCTCTGCTGTCCTCAATTTGATTGCCTTTTAATAGTCAACAAGAAAGGAGGGACTCTGCCTAATAATTCCTTGAATCTTAGATGGAAATCTCTGACTATCTCAGGGCTTTGTCTCTCTGATATGGAGTAGCCCCTGCATTAAGAAAGGATTTGCCTGCATTTGAAGTGGAGGTGAATAATTCGCCTTTTCTTCCTGGCATGACTTGGCACTGTTCTTTGGGCATGTGTTTTATGCAGTATATCACCCAGGCGGAAGATTTCTCATCAATAATAGTGCCCACACTGGGCCAATGCTGAGTCACTTGGCAACCCATTGGGAAAGCTGAAAAAATGTTCCTATTTGCGAGGGGCCAAAGCTTTTTTACCCCCTTGCCATGAAGCTCTGGACTGCAGCTAATTAAAGCTCCTCCTAAGAGGTGTCGACCTCAGCATTCTATAGTGACCAACTTCCTGAACTGGGTGGTCCAGATATTCACAGTGGTCTGAGGCCTAACCCCGTGGCTTTTGTGGCAGTGACCCCATCTCAAAATGGAAGTGTGTCCATGTGGCTTTGCTGCACTGTTTACTGGGGGTGCTCATTGTAAAAGATAAATGAGGGTGTCTCTGTTTCTGTGAAGGGGAAATTTGTTATCTCTGTCTCTCTGCCTTTTCCTGCTCATCTCTTAAGAGGTCATGGATGCTTTTGTGTGTTGAAACACATGGTGTAGCTTTCAAGTGCAAATTTGGTATTGTGAAATAAGCACCAGTTTTTGTTCAGGATTCTGCATTTCCTGCAAGCATGTACTCTTATTGTAAATAAGTAGCATAGGATGGGAGGCCTGCAATTTTTCTGGTAATCAAAGTCAGTGAATGAGTGTAAGATGATAAAAGAATGATTTGGGGGGTATCTTCTGGAGGATTTACCCTTGCCAGAGCAAAGGAAGAGGCTTTCAAGGTCAATATATAATGATTCCTAAATTGGGAGGGAGAAGGACTCAGTGTAACCTTCAGCCACCCTGGCCAGCTCAGGGTCAGATCGGGAGGAGCAGTTTTCTGAACAAGGTTCATCCCCAGCTGAACTAAATTATGTAGCCAAATGCTGAATCCCTTCTGAAATGCTTGTTTGTGCTTTTTGTCACCAGGACCTAAGCTTGTTAGGCTACATCCAGAGAAAAATACCAGGATGGAAGTCACTGGGAGGTAGCATGCTGAGGGTGCTGTGAGGGAGTTGCCTTAGCCACAGCAGGTGCAGAGAAGTCAGCTGTATGTTCCCATCTCCACAGGCATGCAACTCCCACACACAGACTTTGAATGAAGAGGGAAGTGTTCTCTTGCAGAGGGCAAAACAGGAGTGTAGCTCACCTCTTTGCCTTTGTCTCTAAGCTCTGCCAATCCTAGGCATTGCATTTCCCTCTGGCATGCATTCTGGTACCACCAGTTAGTGCCCTGCCTGCGTCCTCAGCAGAGCCTGACAGGCAGCTCTAGGGAACTTGTTGTGATGCAGATCCCTTCGACATACTGCCCTCCCCCCACACTCTAGGGGTGGGGCTAAACCCTTTGGGTAATAAAGTTTGGGAACCAGTGACCTTGTCCTTACCACTTCATTGCTCACCTGTCTATCTTCTAGCTGCAGTCTCCTGCTTTTGCCTAAGAGCTTTCTCTTCCCACTGAGCCTGCTGTGTCACTCACATGGAGGGCCTGGAGTACAGTGTAGGACTGGGGGGCACACCACAACCTCTTCAACAGCCCTCAACCAACAATTGATGGGCAATGGTGTGTACCTGCCCCAGCTTCCTCGTCCCTCTCCTGTGTTCCACAAGGGCTCCTGGGGCTTCCCCAGTGGGCTTGAGCTGCTTGGCAAGATGCCCTTTATTGACTGCCTTCCATTCTACTCTCACTTCTCTGTGCCCCTCTGGTGTTTCTTTCACCTCCCAAATGAACTGCATGTGCTTGAATCCTTGTCTCAGGGTTTGCTTCTAAGGGGATCCCCACTGAGGACACAGCCCCAGGATTGTGTGTTCCACACTTCCTTGCCTTGAAGGTGACAATGCATTTCACTGCATCCCAGCAAACTCAATTCTGCAAACATTTCCAGCACAATGATGATGTGCCAGGTGCTGGGCCAGGAGCTGCGGATTCTGAATGGGGGATAGTCATCTGCAGTCACTCCTGTCTGCAGGGCCCTTTATACTCCTAGTGTGGTACAGGAGTGCCATGGATGCAGGGGAGATAGGAGATGGTTTAATATCATGGAGATGCAAAGCAGTCCTGAAAATTTAGGGGAGGAGGCTTCTAAGGAGCCCAAACATGTGCATGGGGCATGCTATTCAGAGAGTGCCCACCCAGTTCCTTCCTCTCTCCCTCTGTTATGTAATCAGATCCTGTCACTGCCCATGTCCTTGCAGCCTATGGGCAAGGCTTCCTCTGGGCTCTTCCTACTTGCTAATTCCAGTAACTCTGCAACCAGCAGTCCTTGTCCCTTGCTACATCACTTAACTCCCTTACTCCTGCTGCACTACACATACTCATTATAAATTGATTTGTAGAAGAAAAGGAAAGGAAGGACTTTGGTCAAAGTCTCCTTCTCATTCCTATTACACCTGACAGCATATTTGTATAACTACCCAAGAATGCAGTTACCCCAGCTAGGTATGGTGGTGCATGCCTACAATCTCAGCTACTTGGGAGGCTGAAGTGGGAGGATTGTAAGTTCAAAGCCGGCCTGGGCAATAGTGAGACCCTGTCTCAAAAAATAAAAAGGGCTGGGGATACAGCTCAGTCATAGAGAGTCCCAGGTTCAATACCCA